CCCTACAAGGCACTGCCCCGTGTCACCCTATGGCAGACAGAAATTAGGTGCCTTTCTTCCTTTTTTTCAAGAACCACTATATACCACCACCACCATGGTCAGCAACTCCTATTCATCAAACTATCTTACTCTCCCATACTAATTTTGGTTTACCCCAAGTTAACGGAGTGACTACGAGAGCACCCATACGTAGGCGGTAAGATGGACGGATATTGGATACATAGATACGCAAAGGTATCTGCTATACGGAAAGAAATGTTTCGCATTTAATAAATTCTATTTATAGTGAGTCCGACATATTTTTTCCCTCTCGTTGAGGTTTTCCTGATATAGGTGTAAGCTCGCAGATAATAAAGGAGATTTATGTCTTTCCACTAGGAAACGTACAACTATTGTTCAAATCAATGATTAAGTCTCCTTTTATGGGACAGTCTGTTAGCAAAGCAGGTCCACTTGTACCAGGTTTACTTTGAATAAAACCATTTAGGCGTTAGATATAGGCTAACGAATGAGTTCGTCTACCTTTCCTACTTTGCTGAAGCCACCATAGCTTTCATTCGTTGCGTTTTTTCGGCTTATCATGCATGAAAAGTTACATTTTGGGTGAGCGAAATGGTTAGCAGGCATGATATAGGTCAGCAAACTCTTTTCTTAATCTAAGATTACTCATTTTATTGAAAGATGTACGATTGTACACCTGACGCGGAGTGGCAATTCCTAGAAACCCACGACATGGCTGCACGACAGGAATCGAACACACAGCCTCGAGCTCACCGTGGCCACACTTCCATGAGACGCATGATATAAATTATATACATTTAAAACCAGGAATGTCAACGTTAATGTGGTGTTCGCTACTACGATGACGATCATTGTCCTATTGCGGTTCTAACACTCAATAACTTCATGTAAACTGCACTATTACTTTTCGTCGGTTAGCGTGGAGTACTGGATATAGCTGCTGTTCATGACCTCGCCTTCCGTCTAGTCCACAAACAGTGGGTTGTTAAAATACACTCTCGGAAAGGAGGAGCCAAATGTTAGCGTTCTCGATGGCGGTGCAAATGCCACTGGAAACACCGATGAACCTGTTGTTTGCAAAATATTCAACAGGAAGCCTTCTTTTTATCATTTGTCTCCTCCACATTATAAAAAAAAGATCGAGAGCCTAAAAGAATCAACGTGATGCATCGAGGGGTATCCAAACGCAAGTAACAGTCAAGCGAGTCTTGAACAAGGACGCTGCATATGGAGTGTCTACAACGCGCATTACAGCGCATCGCTGAATCGGCGGTGCGTTATGAACCAGCATTTTGCCGAAAGTACATCGCAGATCCCACATTGGTGCATCACTCATTCTTCTAGTCAAAGACCTTTTTTCCCTAGCAGGTTCGTTCCCCAGTGCGCAGCCGCTGTGGCAACAACTACTCTGCTGCGATACACACACCAAGAAAGGCAACGCTTCGAGAAGACTCGGCTGTTGCCTCAAACGCTTCTGAGGGAACACAAATGTCCGGACAAGAGTTGGCGCTCATGTTACAGTCGTAAGATAAAAAAAAAGAACAGTGCTTCCAGCACGTATACAACAGCAGTGGCGAAGCGGGCGAGGCCAGCTAAGCGACACCAGATTAGGCCACTTAGCGGCTCGGCGTTGCGAGCGCGCACTCTGTATAATGCGGTGTCGCGGCAGCCGCCGCCAGCCCGCTTAGTTAACTCCTTGGGCCGTTCCTCTCGTTAAATGCGGCCCCTGGGCGCCTGCTCGAAGACGCGCGGCGACCTCGCGACGCCAGTTGGCGAGCGCCAGCCATTCCGCCCACTCGGAAAGGTACCACTTAGCGTCGGCCAGCGTCGGACTGCCCTTCTGTCTCCATCGGCCCAGTTGGTCCCCCGAGCCATTTGCTCCGGACTCCCGATTCCCATTAGGTATTTCTAGGCAATCAGAGGACCGGCGCATCCACTTCCTTTACGCTACTTAGGCGTCCTCGGGTCGTTACCGCGCCGCCAAAAAAGGCGGGGGCTGACAGAGCCAGGATCTGTCGGCAACGGACACGGCCGGAGAACAGGCCGCCGCAGCAAATCCAGGCCGGTCGGACACGGGACTCGGCGGCCCATTACCAGGCATCCCTTCCGTGAAGCTGGGACGTGAGCCGCACCGGCTGCTGCAGCCTCTTGGGAGTGCTGCCCCCCCCCCCTCTTTTTCTCTTCCCTTGGAGAGAGTCGTGGTGAGACCTCCCGCTCGTACACCCTCACCATGATTTTCCAGACACGTAACCTCAGTGCTTAAATTACATTTTGTTAACCTGAGTCGGGGCCCTTTTAAGTAGGAGTTGGTTGTTTCTATACCTCGTCGTATAAATGGGAGCGCTTACGTGCTACTGCAGCATTTGTCGCAGACAGTTACTCAGTCTTTTCCTGGCACGCGATAACGGTAACTAATGATTGACAGAAAAAAAAATATTGCGGGCAGCGTCGCTGCGTTTCTTTCACCGATTAAGATCCCCTAGTTCATCATTGATGGCCTGTGCTTCAGTCACGAGTGGAAGTTTATCGTCTCGAAGACACACCCATGCAATAATGAACAAATGACACAAAAAGGGGGCACTTTAAATTTAACCACAATTTGATGCGTACATCAAAACCTTACTGAACGAACTTAATTTTGGGTGCCATCGCCACCGGGACGCGACCTGCATCTAGGTAGCTAGTTCGGTTAACATAAAAGCTGCTGTACTCGCGGACTCGCCTATATAGTACAGAGATTTAGAGCGCGTTATAGTGAAGCAATGGAGCTTTACGCTGATCAAGAATATTGACAATCGATATGCCTCAAAGATGATGGTGTTTCTTTCGTATGCGAGGGATGATACTGTATATTTGCAATGTATGCTACATAATGTCATTACTAGATTCTTGAAAATCAAGTATACGACGAGTTATGCTAACTTTTTAATCTTAACTTTAGGCAAAGCGCGCATGGTCACGTTGCAGACGGCGTTCCTAAAACGACGTATCCTATTTTATCGCGGTATACAGCGCGTGCTGTGTAGGGATTCTTGCGGCTTTTGAAGGGAGCGGGCGAAATAATATCACGCGATTGCGTTCATGGCCTACTCTATTTCAAAGCTCCCTACCGCGCATCGAGCGAAGCAGCAGTGCCCGTGCACCGTCGACCTGTTGCGTATCAGGCACAACGGCGCTTTCTGGTCACGTGGCGCTGTGTTACGCACTGTGACGCCGGTGCCTATATACGGCTACAACCCCGGCCACCGACTTCCCCTCCGTCCGCGCGTAAGGCTCGTAACTCAATTAATTTCACCTTTAGCTCTATACAGCACGAACAAGACTGACTGACTGAAGTCAGTCATTAAATTAGTGCTTCGTCGTGCCGATTTTGACATACACCAAGTTAATGAAACGACCACGAGAGCACACATAAACGTGGCCATATATTGCGATACGTTCATGGCATGATATTATTGTTATGACAAATTATTCGTAGTGTACATGCACTGATGTCACGTGATACCAGTTTTGGAATAGTATATCGAGTCTACTAAGCAGCCGCGAGAGCACCAATATCATGCCATGTGTATCATGACGTATGTACACATGACATGCGTTACATGCTAAGACCTCTCATTCATGTTCGTCGCATGCCATGTCGAACCATGTCAATCTTAATATATACGAAATCAATGAAATGAGTACGAAATCAATGAAATGAGTACGAAATCAATGAAATAAGTACGAAGAGCTTTGCGCAGAGGCAGTGTCGCATCCAATGAAGTGCCAACTGAGTACGAAGAGAAGTTCGTGGGTATAATAATGAACACGACATGTGTAGAGCAGCATGATTTTCGTTTTATATAGCATGTCATTCATTTGTGTTCGCAACATTCATGTCATACTATGTCGATAGATATATCGACATAGTCTGACATGAATGTTGCGAACACAAATGAATGTCATTATATATATATATATATATATATATATATATATATATAATGAGGTCGTAACATTCATGTCAGACTATGTCGATATATATATCGACATAGTCTGACATGAATGTTACGACCTCATTATATATATATATATATATATATATATATATATATATATATATATATATATATATATATATATATATATATATACAGAGAGAGAGCGTGATTTTCATGCTATATATATCTATAACGTTCGTCATACACTAATGTCACATTCAATTTGGGGTTGCAAGCACAAGCCTGTGCGAGCCACCCCAAAGCAGCTGCGTATTCTCCGGGTCGCCCTTCAGATTCGCAAAGTTAGATCCGTGGATTTAATAGACTTGATGAAGTGAACCACTTGGTTGGCGTACGTATGACGCACCTATATTGTATTGCGTTGAAAGTTATGTCTGAGGTCGACCTGGATGATAAAAAAGAAAGTATCTGCGCGCCAACAATGGTTTGACTGTTATACCCCACCTCGCGTTGTGAGCTAGTGAGTGAGTGGAACTCTATCGAAGGACAATGCTGACGCGGAGGTCGGCCCGCACCACCCGGCTACTCCTACGTGACGCTCAATGCATTCTCAGCTTGTCACCTTCGCAGTATCTGCGCGAACGCGGTCATGGCCAGTGTCAACACGTGTCAACGCGGTCTCATGCACTCCCACAGAGCGCCATGCATGTGCCCTTGCGATGACGTAGAAAAAAACTATGTAGAAAAAAACTACACAGTTAACCCCGCAAATCTGCACGTACCATCAGGATTTGAGTGCGGCCCGAGAGTAGTCTATCTATAGTGACGAAACTTTCTCCTGCAGTCTGCGCACGCACATTCATGGCGCGACGCTAAAAGCTTACTGCGCGCGTCGCAGTTCGACTGGTTTCTCGCCCTTGCAGCCGGCACTTGCATCACTTTCGGTGTAGTGCACCGCATACTGTCTCAAGGCGGCAAGTGCTGGTCACGTATCTTCCGCGTTAGAGCCTATTAGGCCGCAGCAGGAGCACTCACCTGCGTCTCGGTGACGTTTAGTAGCTTAGCCATCTCCGCGCGCTCGCTGGACGACAGGTACTTCTTTATCTCGAATTGCCTCTCGAGTTCGAAGATCTGTCGTCCCGTGAACGTGGTGCGCGCCTTCTTCTTGCGGGCAGCTTTGTCGCCGCTGTCTCCGCCGTTGACGGGGCTCTCCGAGAGCCGCGCCCGGTTCGCCGAGTTCGGCGGCTGCGGGGCTCCGGGGCTGGCGCCGGAAGGGACGCCGGGGCTGCCGCCCGGGTTCGTCACGGCAGGTGTGGGTGACGCCGCCGCCGACGGCTGCTCGGACTCCCGGCCTCCGGGCTCCTTCTTTCGCTTGGCGCCCTTTGGCACCGGCACTGGCCGCTGCACGCCTGCGGAGAAAGAACGGCGGCCAAAATCGTTTACATCTATGCTGAAACACGAGCGCGGCAGTGTCAGCGCATTTACTTATCCTTCGCGAGCCGAACACTCGGGCTACAGCAAACGTCAAAGCGAGGGCCTAGTACGCCACAGATGCCTTCAACGGCTCTTTCGTTTCACCTCAAGCTATGCAGATGAAAGTGAACATGAAACCAGAGGCAACATTGACGTTACCGTTGGTTACTTTGCAACTGCGACCACTCGATCGATGGCGATCAAAATATATTCCACCCAAACCGCGTGTTCCGTGATGTTCATTTTTGTCGCTATTATAACGCACCCATATTGAACAAAGCTCATATGTATGCCCGTATTTATCATTTCGTTTTGTCTGTGCGTTTTCGCTCTTTTTGGTTGATTTTCTCATTTTTTGTAGATTGTATTCTATTGCTTATTTTTATCATTTTGTCTTCACGTGCGGCTGCACTAGCACGTGATGGTAGTTCCAGGGCACGTTAAATAAACGATTTGTTGACGAATTGATTGGTTAGTATTATTTCAAAAATAAGGACGGAGCTAGCTGCAGGTGTACATAATCTTTGTAAAAGCGACCGGGAACAGTTAATTTGTGGGTGCCAGCATCACGATATGATTACGAGGTACACCGTATTGGGCGACTTTGAATCACTTAGACCACACGTGGTTCCTTAACATGCGAGAAAAATATTTGTTTTCTACCTCTCACAGAGGTAATATAAAAATAAATGAGTATATTACAGAGAGACGAGACAGAGAAAAAAGGTATCGAGTTTGCTGCTGCGTGTTAAAGTGCCCCCCTTGTCAGAGACGTTCGTACAAGCCCGTTCAGAAAGGAAAACAGTGATTTTACTGCTTAGTGGGCTATCGATAGTTTAAGGTGGCGTTCTAGCAGCACCTGCACCGGATTTTTTTTTTTTTTCGTACGAGCGCACCCCATCAATGGGTTGGAGTAAAATGCCAGTCACATGTTCAGACGATGCTGACAACGAGGGAAAAATAGAGTCGACGCAGAAAATTGGTCGTGCCGTACATCCTGTCTCATCCTACTGTGCCATTCAAACGGTACACGATTGACGCTTCAATTTGCTATCGCGGAAAAAGGCAAGAAGGTCGTAGATATGGACATGGCGTTTGACCGAGGTGGCGCTGTAAAGTTTTTATAAGCTCCGCACTTGTTTGCGATAACAACGAAGGAGATACACAACGTACGATACCTCTCACGTGTCAAAACATGTCGACATAACTAACGACACTAGTTGACTGCGTTTCCGGCGTGATTCGCAGAGACTTTGAATGCACAGGTTGTGAATTCATTGAGGTACTACCCGGTTTTATATTAACAGCGGAGCTCTCGTAGGGCTGGGCCGGAGGACAAATTAGTGTTGAGGGTAGTCACGCTTAGGTTCCCAGATACCCTCATAGATGGCGTAACTGCCTCGGTCGCGGACGAAGCGGTAGACGCACAGTGAAAACGGGGAAGCCAAGCTCAAGCGGAAACGGTGCCTTAAGTCAAACCGCAAAAACCGATTCCCATATAGACTAAAAAATGGCGTGACTGTCTCAGTTGTGGACGCAGCGGTAGACGCGCACTAGAAACGGAAATTGGGGCTCAAGCAGAAGTAGGGCGTAAAGTCGAACCGCTAAAACCGGTTCTTAGATATACTCATAGACGGCGCAACTGCCTCAGTCGTGGACGAAGCTTTAGACGCACAGTGAAGCTGAAAAACGTGGATCAGGCGTGAGTACTAAAATCACTGTAGGAAAAGTGGGTGTGGAGAGGGCTGTCACACGCTCTTTCCAGCCATGGATGCCAGTAGAGCAAAAAGCCAACGCGCGCTCGCACAAGAATGGCAGCTTCTTTCACAACGCCAACGCACACTCGAGCAAGAACTGCAGCGTCGTCGACGGCAGGCTAACCCGAAGCTAAGGAAGAAAGCTGCGGAGGCTAAGCAAATGCAAGCAAATCCAAAGCTAATCACAAAACGCCATAGAGAGAACCGCTGCTCCTTTATGTTTCCGCAAGTTTAGCACTGGGGCCATTTTTTTTTTGATGCGTTCTTTTCTTTTTCAAGCACCGTTGGAGCACGTAGTTGCCGCGCTGCTAAACTTGAGGAGGTGCGTTGGATTACATGCCGGCCGTGATTCGATAATGAAGCCGGGTGAGACGCAAACACCATGTGCTCAGATTTACGAGAATGTTAAAGAACCTCAGGTGGTCGAAGTTATTCCGAAGTTTCCCGTTACCACGTGCTTTAAAGTAAGATCTTGTTTGTAGTGCGTAAAAATCCATAAACTTCATTGCTATTCTCCATCCTTCGTAAGAATTGCCACGAAGGAAACGGGGAGGTCATATTTCTAAGCGTGAAGTTCATTCGGCCGACGATCACTTTCTACTTCACTTAGACATCGTACAGCTCTTTCTTTATTTATTGATTTATAGGCACTGTCGGCACTTTTGCTTGTACTGGCTGTACGTCTTCTCGCGTCCCACATAATTAAAGGTGCACAAAGAAAATTTAACGCACGGAAAATCACGAAGGATTGAGAGCAGTGTAAATGTTGTCAGCTTTTTTTAGTTTGCACGGCTAAAATTTGAGGCTACATTTAAAAATATTCCCCATTCCAATATTCCAATACGTATACATCATCATCTGAGAGACTTCTCATTTTTTGAGAGCGAATGGTGAAATTCCAACTTTTTCCAGAGAGTAGTTCGTTTTCAGAAATCTGTTATATAATAGGCAGGCTATAGCTCTAGACTTTCGTTTACATCTCAATCCTGACTAAATGCCTCAAAATCGTTTGAATTTAGACCATTCCTCGTTGATGCATCTGCTCGTCTTCGCGAACTGTAGATCTTGCACGACCGCTTCAACTGCGCAGCGTTACTTGTCTCCCTTCCCCGTCTCCGGTTGCTTCGACAAATCACTTCCATCCCGTAACAAATCGCTACCTCTGTTTATTGATAAACGGGCGTATAGAAAGAGGAGCCCACGTCCGCCCGCATCCAGAGTGCACGCCATCAGCGTTTGCCTCTAACAAAGCCTCTATCTCCGGGCGTTCCTCGGATCGCACGCCCTCTCCTCCCTCCTAAAGGTACCACTGTGTTCCGGGGTGACTCGCGAGAGAAAACCGATCTTGAACGGAGCGGGCCTCTCGGGTGGATCATCTATTTTGGGCCCCAACGCTGGCGGGGTTGCTGGCGCAGTTCATCGCCTAATGAGCATTTTGGGCACGGCTAAACTTAGGCGATCCTTTATCAATGCCCGTTACTCGGGTGCTCAGCGCGACGACAAATGGGGATGCCGATCGAAACACGTGTAAAGGGGCCCTGCGCGCGCGCCCGACGCCAGAGACATGCGCGTCGACTGCCTCTGGCTCAGGCCTCGGACAAAACTAGGCGAACAGCAGTGTTGCAAAAGAACGCAGCCGGAAAGGTAAGCCACTGAAAAAAAGAAAGAAAATAACTCCTTTCGCCTGAATAAATTTTAAAGAAGTAGCTTCTGACTGATCTCATTTGAGATAATGCGTACTTTTTTTCGCAAATAACAATTTAGGTCACTTCTTTGAGCGCTGAATAATAAGAAGCAATGACATAGATAGCGAGCGCTGCATCCCACTATAAACTTGAATCCCTACAGAATACCAACTAGCCCCTCCCCCCTTTCTATCTTCACTGTCCCATTCAGCGACAAACCTGATCATTACCGCTCTTCAGACGACCTAGATTAAGTTAAAGCGAAGAGTAGCGCCTGGTACAAGACGTTAAACTTTTATGAATGCATAGTTTATCACGTTTTGCCTTGTATATACACATCATATAACACACCGTACCCATTTAGGAGGTGGTAAACCACTTTCAATAATTCCTCTATAAACTACCTTTATCTCCATATCTACCACATTAAATTGTTTCCAGTTGAGCATACCTCACCGTAAAACATCTTACTGTTCTCAAAAACACCTTCGCTATCACAAATAACACTCTTCAAAACCCTCTTTCATGTAGATAAGAGTACGCTGGAGCGGTAAATCTGCAACATAACCACCAAAACGTCTCTACAGTGATAAAGAAATCTTGCCACATGCTCGAGCTCAAATACCGTTCCTTCACAGAGCGCCTTCTTTCTTAACCGCATCTCACCTCGGTGCTGCCTCATTCACTACTTCATACTTCTCAACACCAGCTAAATGAAGGAAGAGAATTCTGAAGACTCAATTTTTTGTTATTTGACACAATTACCAGCAAGATAACGAATCATTTATTGTTGCGTTATCTGCACGCTTTCACTAACGTAGTGTTAACACAAGCTGGTGTTACGCTGTTAAACGGTTAAAAGACACGATCTGCTTTCATTGATTACATCGCGTTGCCTCATATCCCATGCACGCCTCAGGTGCTGTCTTCATGGGAAAACTTGAGCGAACGACTGCATAAGCGTGACTGATTTCGCACATGTGTTGCGGACACACTGACAGTTCTACGCTCTCCTAATCTTATCCTCTGCCTTTTTACCCTTCTTTTATCTTCTTCTCAAGCGCCTGTTAGGAAGCCAGGAAATACGATTTGGGTCCCCTCCCTACCTTTCTCTCATTTTCTCTCTCTCTTTCTCTGTCTACTTTTAATTGCATGAAGAACAAAATTGTTATTATAACGTAGAACACCTCTAATATATTTATTCAAAAGCGCGCAAGAAGCGACAGACGAGAGGAAAAACACAGACGATTCCTGTCCCATGTTTTCTTCCTGTTGTCTTCCGTTTTGTTTTTCGTTTTTTTTTTTTTTGCCCTGCGCTGCAACTAGCCAAGTTTTTCACGTTACTAAACCATTAACCACTCTAACGCAGGCAATTCCGTGTATAATACAGTCGGCTGGCCCGATGGTCCTAGGTTCGATTCCAACCGTGGCTGTCCCATTTCGATAGAGAGGAAGTGTTAAAAGCCCGTGTACTTAGATTAGCGTGCACATGAA